TTTCGAATCCTGTCTCTCAAACTAATCCTAGCATGGCCTCTCATTGCTCTTTGGGTTGTACTGAGCTGCTCTAAGGTTTTCTTTGTGAAGGCCATGGTCTCCAGTCCATATGTAGTTACAGGCAAGATACATTTGTCATAAACTCTACGTTTTAGACACATTGGTATATCTTTATTCTTCAAAATAAAGCTTAATTTGCCGAAAGCTCCCCAAGCTCACTTACAAACCATCAGAACACTAGTAGAAAAAACCACAGAATATAATGTACCTTTACATATGGCATTTATCGACTTTCACAAGGCTTTCGATAGTATTGAGACTTGGTCCTTTTTGTCAGCCCTGAAGGATGCTCGAATAGACTCACGGTACACTACACTCATTAAAAACATTTATGAACAGGCCACATTCCACATCAAAATCAATGAAGACGAAAAAACTGAAAAAATGCGCCTTGATAAAGGTATTAGACAAGGTGATACTATTTCACCAAAGCTTTTTACCTTAGCATTGGAAAATGTATTCAAACAGCTTGACTGGGAGGAAAAAGGTCTAAACATTGATGGTGTACGTTTGAGTCATTTGAGGTTTGCGGATGACATAGTATTATTTAGTACAGATATCAAGGAACTGGAGCAAATGTTGAAGGAATTAAACCAGCAGTCAAATAAAATAGGTCTCAAAATGAACCTTCAGAAAACAAAAATAATGAGTAATTTACAAACTAATCTTGTTATTGACAACGTCAGTCTTGAAAATGTAGACCACTATATATATCTTGGACATACCATTAAAATCGGCAAAGAAAATCAAATAGCCGAAATAAAAAGACGCATACAACTGTCTTGGGGAGCTCTGAGATTTAGTTAGAAAATATTACAATAGCAGTAACATAAATGGCACTGTCGAAAGGGTCATCTTATAACGTACGTTAATGATCTATATTCATTTATTCTGGGTAATTTATGTGAATAAAAAAACAGAAACTTGGCATTTAGTTAATAGTAGTATACTGAAGGTGAAGCTGTATTGTATTTTGCATAACTGTATATGCAAATATTTTTATATTTTTATTCTTGTTTTTATTATGGACCTGGTACGTTTCTGTAGAAAACAAAATAAAGCAAATTTTATTTTACCAAATATAAAAAATGATCAACCGAAAAATGATTTTAGTAGCGATGATAGTGTTCCAAATGAAGACAACACTGGGATTGGTGAAAACATAGTAGGTACCTATGTTAATAATATCAGTAAAATTTCTTCATACATTTTCCATTGCTTGTCCTGAAATTAATATCAGAGCAAGCATTAGACTATTTGTGCTATCAACCATCTTAAAAAAAAGGAATAGGTTACCATCAAATGTAACGGTATCATTATTTTTTATATCAAATTCATGGTTGATTTGATAGATTTTCTTTTAGAACTTTATCGGACAAAGGTTTGATCACAAAAAATACCAAATATTATTTTTCATTTACAGACATTGTATCGTCCATGTATACATTAATTTCTAAGCTGAACCACTGGGAATACCTGGTGTATAGTAAAGTAATATATATTGTTAAATGTGAAATGTTTAGATTTCTAAACATTTAGATAAAAGATTTCTTTTAAAATACAGAAAATTAATTAATTTATATTATGATTATTAGAATTAGGATTATTGTTATTGCTTGAGTTATGTACAGGCGCGCTGGACATAATTATTGTTCCCAAACAGATCAACTACCTTTATTTATATAATTTTAATGCAGACATCGAACAGAGTTTATGTTGGGCTGATAAATTTAGAAAAACATGTGACGTATCCAGCTCTATCCATCATTGAAAGAAAACAATGTTAAAAACCTGTGTAAATCCTAACTGCCACTATGATAGAATCGAAGAAGAATGATTATTAAGCACAGATGGGAAGATGTAGGAATAGAAAATGTCAGAATGAAACAGACAAAAATGTTTCTGGGAATTTTAGTTTTTTTTTTATTTTAGTTATACAGTGGAACCTAGATAACCCAAACCTCATAAAGTAAAAAACCTTTGAATAAAAGAAAAAAAAACATTTTTTCCTGTTGAAGCCCTAAATATCCGATACCTCGAATTTCTAAAGCTCTGTATCTTGAATAAAACATTATTTTCCTATAACATAGTTTTAGTACATACAGTAGAACCTCTAGAAGACTACATCAAGGGAGACGCCAAAAAAATTCGAAATAAGAGTTTTCAACTTATGGAGGATTTTGACTTGCGACATAAAGAGGTTGAGATTAATTTTTACTATTATGAGTTAGAGAAAAGAAATAAATGAAAATTAAAGTTAAACACGTAACAAACATTTTTATTTTTTATAAATCAACATTATTTCAAAACATTCTTAAAATAAAAAAATATGGCATTAGTCAGTAACTTTTTTTCTTTAGATAATTGGATTGTTCTCTATCTATAGCATCGTTTAAGGTATAAAGAGCAGAAAATTCTTGTACTTCAAAGTTGTTGATTTGCTCGATAAAATTCCGTAAAGTATTCCATGCGGTTCTTGCCGCTTCGATGGAAACCATGGAGCGCAGTAGTATTATTCAAGTCTTCTATGTCATCTAAATTATTAGTATCAGTTTTCTGAGCTGAATCGATAATTTTAGATAATGTATCACCAGTCAAAACTCCATCATTGTAAGTAACAAAGTTCACAAAGTATATTCCTGATTCTGACATTATTCCATTCTGCAATAGGTAAAATAGAAATATCTTAAATGTCAGCTTCTTCTGTTGACAACAATGGAAAACCACAATGTACATAAGTTTTTATATAATAATAGCTTAATCAACCATTCTCATGCAATACATACAATACACCTATATAGAATTCTTTTTTCTTCCATATTATCCTACATGTTCCTGACAACTTCTTTTTGATATAATGACTTGAAGTTTTTAATGATACCTTGATCCATAGGCTGTAATTTTGATGTGGTATTAGAAAACAGATATTGAAGTTTCATTACTTTCATTTGTGGAATATCATTATGAGCTGTACAATTATCAATGAATAACAAGATTTTTCTATTTTCTTTAAACATTTTCTTATCAATATTTATGAGCCAGTTTTTGAAAATTGCAGAAGTCTTCTATGCTTTTGTATTTGCTTCATATTTCAAAGGTAGTGATTGAAATCTTGTAAACAACGAGGTTAGTTAGATTTACTGATGACTAACGGTGAGAGTTTTTCTGTGCCCGATATGTTTGCTGCCTACAGAATAATCAATCGTTCCTTACCATGTTTTCCACCATGTCATTTACCATTTTAAAAATTTATAGTTGTATCGGAAAGACAGTTAAAAAACAGTCGCGTTTCGTTAGTATTGAACAAATTGTCAGGTTCATAACCATCTAATAAACCTTGCAATTCACTTTTCCATTTATTACAGGTTTCAATGTTGACACTTACACTTTCCCCACAAACTTTTTTAAAAGCAAGTTCATGTGGTCTTGTGAACTTCTCTAGCCATCTATTATTGGCCCTGAAATTAGTCACTCCCAATAATTTAGAGTATATTTCGGCTTTTTCTTTTTTTACCATTTAAGTAAGCACTCCTCCAAGTCACGAAATTTTGCAATTCGTCGTCTTTTGCAGGGCAAATGTTAACGATTTTGGACTTTTCATGATGACTGATTCATTTTTTATTATTTTTGATACTTCCAAATTGTTCAGCAACATATTTATTCTTTTGGCAGCTCTTCATAGCTTCGAGCAATTCTAACTTTTCAGTGAGACTCAATTATCAGTTTATGTTCCACAGCAGTCTTGTTTTAATAATTTTCTTTAAGTGTTGTGCAAATTTATGTATATTGCGGTAGAACCAATCTACTTCTGAGAATTTTTCAATCGAGAACAAATGACTTGCTTCGCTAAATTTTAAATTAAATTAAAAATAATAAAATTAAATGCCTGACACCAAGCAAGCAAGCACGTATCAACGTGAGTCATGAATTCCTTAAGTGGTATTAATTTTTCGAGTTCTAGAGGGAAAATGTATATTAAAATGGTTAGCAGAGACTCTGATTATTTTGGTTAACAGAAGGGTTGATATTTCAAGTAATCGAAAATTTGGGGCTTGAAGTAAAGGGAACAAAACATTTTTTTGAGTTATGGATGTTTTTAACATTACGAGGTTCAACCTAAAGTGGTTCTATTGTATATGTATGGGAAATAATATAATATTAATTTTTACTAGCTATCTCCTGAATCCATGTTTCTATAAAATTTCTAGATAAGCAAATCTGCTAACTTATGTTAAAAGTTTGGTACTGATCCACAAGTATCGTGAACTTGAACACCAAACTGAAATTAAAAGCTTTAACATTCGTGAGATAGTTGATGTTCTCTGTTCTCAATGCAGTAAAAAAAGTGTCATGAAGAAAAGGAAGTATAGGAACAATATGGATTAACAAGCACTTTGTCAACAATAATTAAGAATGAAGTCAAAATATTGCAAAAATATGAATCAAATAAAATATATCTTGCAAAAGGTAATATCAGGCTGTGTTTCCTGTATAAGGAATATCGTTGGTTTCGTTTTAAGAGAGCCATGATAAACACATGAGTGAGTGAGACCATCTTATGCTAAAAAGAAAAAAAACAGTAGGATAAAAAGCTTGTTTGACCAGCAAGCAGTGGTCACTTAGATAATTTTAAATGATGGCATAAACTTGTGAGTTTGACTAAAATGATGTGCTGAAGAGGATTAAGTCCAAGAAAAACAAAAAGATTTTTTTTAACTATTAAATCTGATGGTAACTAGAGAAATACAAATTTCGTGTTGAAAATAATAATCGTTATGTGAAATAATTTGTTAATAAATAATTTTAGAATCAACTTATCCCATAAATATTTCTCTTTGGAATGTTATTCTAAAGATATGGCTCATGTTTAAACAATAAAAACAATTACTGAACTGTTTATGTTACATCAAGAGTAAAAAAAAATTGGAAAAAGAAACATGAAAGGGAATGTTATTGCTGGTGTAAATTTGGTAATTAATCATCTTCTGAACATCTTAAATAATAGAAATGAAATTACACACAAAGACATATATAATTAATTAATTAATTAATTAGCTGGTTTTATTTAGTATTTACTATTAATTAATTTCAAATTTAATGTACCTGAATATGTCTATATTTGGAGAGGTGGAATCTAGCTCCATACCTTCCATTATAACTGGATTCAATTTATTTCTATTCTGTTTATGTCACATTTTTAAGAAGAGAAACTCTTGCATAAACGAAGTGTGTTCTGGTTGTGCTACAAGGAAAAAATTAAATTCATCATTAATTATACAGTTCTCCAATGACTATTTTGTAGATCTGAAGTACTGAAAATTTCATATGACTAGACAGAAAAAATTATTAACAATGTCATAATACAAAGTTTTTGTTAAGCAAGATAATAAAAAAAAATACAAAATTTTAAATGCCTGTATGTAATATTTAATTTTAGAGGGGCATAATTAAAGTGGTCAGTGCAAAAAGTGGTTAAGTCATATTTTTATGATTCTGAGTTATAGATGTTAGAAAGTTTAATTTGAATACTTTTTGGGAAAAAAAACAAATAAAAATTAAAAATTGTAACGCCAAAAATATATTTTTAAAAATGTTAAGACATCAAATTTTACTCATACATATCAGCACCACTTCCCATATCTTACTTTCTATTCCCAGTATCATGACAGTTACCGGCAGTTACATTTTTGACATCTAACAGTCATAGTATAGAATTTAATATGTTAAGTGTTATACTTATTCCGATTCCTGTTCAGAGTGCCTTATACTAACTGGGAATTGTGTACAGGTTTACAGATTTTTTTTATATCCTTTCTGGCATATCCAAAGGAAATGAAAAATATAAAAATCGCATATGAATCTTTACTATTAGAATGTGTGTTGAAATTTTCATGTAGTTTAGTGGTTGATAGAATAGGGTCCAGCTTTTTTCTATTGAGGCTATCAGATTTTGTATAGTGCTATTCTCGATCTGGTAATTATATAGATTATACTCGCTGCTGCATAAAAAAAAACTTTCTATCGCAAGTTATACTATTGTGCTGAGTGCCTTCGTAGGGATCATACTCACTTCCCAAGATTACATCTAATACAGTACTGATTCTAATATACTATAGATAATATATATATATATATATATATAATCTTAAAATCGTTATTTTTGATTAGATATATTTATTGCTTAATATTCTGTTTCCCAAATATTTTAACTTCTAATTTATTTTTAATATAAAAAGAATATGAAACTTAGTCTTGCCAAAATTAGACATTTTTATATGTTAGTAGCAACAAGTTGTCAAGTTTATGGACTTAAACTTTTCTGGAATTAGTCAAACTTTTCACATCTGAATTGGAATCAATAGAACAATATATCAGTTATTTCAGAGTCTCTACATGATGAGCCGGTCAAGCTAACTGTGATTCGAACCAAAAAGTACATTTAATGTCTCGGAAATCTTCCCACTTTCAATGGTTTCAAGCATAGAGATGTCACCTGCTTTGTTGTGAAGAACTAAAAAATAAATAAATTGTTTTTGTTCTCTGGCCTGTCAAATTTGCAAATATTAGTTGCTTTTAGTTATTGCTCTGATGAATAAAAGCCATATATATTATGGAGCACAAAGTAGTCAAACTTTTCACGTCTTAATGGCAGCTCAAACAGGTGACGAAGTAGAGATACTGATGGATTGCTAAGAACAGCTAATGAAGGAAAACCAAACATTTAAAGAAGTGTACAATAGAATCAAAGAGAACATAGAAAAGGAAAAAAGTAGATCAGGGAAAAAGGGATAGAAAAAAATGAATGAAATTGGACAAAAAAAGAAAAAAACAATTGAAGAAATATGAACAATGAGCACAGACAATAAGCTAACTCTTAGCTTAAAAAATCAGTGATGATTTTAATGAGACTAAGTTTTTATGTTTTAAATTCAATGTTTAGAAGCAAATACTAGGTACCTTCAAACAATACAAACTCTTAGCATTTAACTGTAGCTCTTGTCATATTTTTGTAGTTGGTGGATAAGAATTATGTACACAACAATATAATTCTTCAAAAAGGTTTTATTTTTGAATAGTAAGATTTACAATCAAAAACAACTTAATAATTAATAAGTTAAGCCCATATAGGTTACATAAATTGAAAATAGAACAAAATAGTTTTAAGATGACAATTTATAATATTAAATTAATATTATTAAAAAGGGTAGTGTTATTAGTATACCATAAAAATGTGTTTATAAATAAAGGCATTATTTTATCCACTTATGGATTCATTTATAATCACATTTCTAAGGTAAACTCTATACTCTTATCTTTACGAGTTCATAATCATGAGAAGATGAGCCAATTTATGTGTATTTATCTAGGAATTTTCTTAAACAATACATCTATAATTGAATGCACAATTCTAAATATTTCTTATTCTATTACATACATTTTAATGACATACAAATATTGAGTAGTTTTGAAATTATATACATTCGATCTTCATTAACAAATCTATAATATGTACTAACCTGTATTTTGCAGAATACACATATTATATCCTTCACACAATTTATAGTGAAGGATTATCTATATTGGGATTTTATTTTTTATGTCTGCGATGGCTACAACTATGATGATGACTAGAATCTCGATGTTTTCTCTTTTCCCTGTCTCTATTTCTATGCCTATCTTCATATCTCTCTTTATCTCTATGTTCTCGATCTCTGTGAGAATCTCTTCTATGGCTTCTATCATCTAACCTAGACTTGTCTTTTGGTCTTCTATCCCTTTCACTATCTTCATCTTTTTCAGTTTTTGTTTTAGCTTGTTCATAATCCATATCATATTTTCTATCCTTCTTTTTACCTCTATCCCTACTTCTTTCCTTTCTTGAATCCTTTTCCCTGCTTCTTTTTTCTGATATTCTGGGCCCATAAAGTAGTTCTCTGGTATCCTTCACTAACTGAGATATCTCATCAATAATTTCTTTTAATTTTGAATACCCCATATGTTGTTTTCCCATAAGATGGTCTTCTAAACGCTGTTGTGCATCCCCCACAATAAGAAGAGCTCCACAGACTTCACACACCTCCATTTGCTTTTCTTGTGTAAGGTCAGAGTTGTTATTTTGAGTTCTATCTGCTGGTTTTAAAAGAGCATCTTTTTCTTCCTTGAGTTGGTCACAAAGCTTTAAAATACCCTGAGCATGTTCGACATTGCCTGCTATACCAGCTTGTTCGGCCTGGGTTTCTAGTTCTTCGATTTTTTGGCTAAGGATATTTATCTGCTCTTGATTGTTTTTTGCAACTTTTGGTACAGCTTCAGTAGAATTTGACATAAGAGCTAATCTTTGTTTACCCTTATCAATTCTTCTTTCGAGATCATTCATTATAGATGCACAAAAACGCAGGAACTCTACATGATATTGCAATTTCTTCTGATCTGTATTTTTCACTTCCTGGAACAATTGTCGAGCATCTTCATCATGAATTTTTGGGCAAGTACCAAGGTCGTTTTTGGTATTTACAAACAAATCATGAGGACACAATTTCACCAGGTAATACTTGCAGTAAATCGCATCCCTCCAGTCAGTTGGTTTAACTTTTTCATCAGGAGCTACATTTCTATTTTTACCCATTAATTCGTCTAAAAGTTGGGCAGCTGCGGTGACGGCCATAATTAAATGGTGTTTAAACACGTCACTAGTAACAACAAATATCTCACGACCAATTAGTATTTTATGATGTATGTATAAAATGCATAAGACTTGTAACGGGCAAAAGCCAAAACACAGCCATACTTTTGTATAAAATGCTGTTTTCCTTATCGGGGTGAACTTAGCAACAGTTCTAGAATTTGTGGCCTACTACTGCGTCTGTAGTAATGCGTTTACAGCCATCTTAAGTAAAAATAGAATGTTCAAATACAAGGTATTATTATAATAATAATATTACATATATTTACTTAATCCAATTGCAGATGTTAATGTAACAAAAGACCAATTTTATCCAAAAATCTTGATCAGATAGCAATTTTCAAATATTAAACGCGAGCATAGCTTTTGCCCCTGTAAAGTATGTGATCAACAATTCTTAAATGTGCTCGAGAGAGGAAGAAATGTGACAACCGGAAATACAATATGACCGGTTCAATTATGACAAATTATTTAAGATTCGTGAAAATAAAAATAGAAGAACTATTATTTTTTCTCAAAAGCAAATTTCACATAACAGTATTTTCTAATCAAAGGCTTACACAAAAGTTTATTAATATAAAGTAAACAATTTTTTTAAATATAAGTACAAGGGGAATTTATCTGTTTAAGTTACAAATTTTTAATATTTTTACAGATCATTTATTTAAAAAGAATACTCCACGTATAATATGAAACTTATTCCAATATATATGGAGAAATTTATTAAAAACTTAAATTTGTGTTAAATCGGATGTGACGTCACAATTACATTTTTAAACCTGTTTTATGGTTACAACGTGGATAACGTTAACCGTTACTCTATGTATTTTGGCAAGTAGATTGCATAAAAATCCATAAAAAAATACAAAATTGGCAGAGAGTTTATGAGATATAACATTGATGCGTATCATATAATTTTGTGTGGGGGCTCACATTTGTGTAAAATAGCATTACTCTCATAATAATTAAGTCCTACACATTACATTTTTTTCTAAAATAAAACTATTAAATTTAGTAATAGTACTTTATAACAAAAATAGTGCTTTAATATATTATAATACAAAAGGGGTATCGTCAAAATAAATGAACTGTCTGATTATTAATAATTTTACAAGTTTATCATTGTACTTATACCTAAGTACAATACTTATAGGTATTAGGATCGCTGATATTCCGCTTTTGAACACGCTATGAAAAATGTTTTTCGATTAAAAACGTGTCTATAAAAAAGTGTCTCCGAACTGATTACTTTTACTTGTAAACAGAAAAGCTGCAATATACTTCAACATAATGTGATTGGAGGACAAATATTTTGAATTAGTTAGTGATCGGGTATATATTAAAATTTTTCGCAGTCTCCAGAAAGAATTTTAGCCACATTAGCTTCATAATATATCCTGAAAATTCTTCATTTTTCTTTAATACGTTTTGAATTATTTCTTATTTTCTCCTTTTTTCCCTGGCAGTGCTATTAACATTATTAATAGATAATCTAAAACTATTAATTATTAAACTCTCAGTGTTGTGTTGTTTTTACACACTTATGTACCTATATCTTTTGACTTATCAAGTTATTTCTCTGTATTGTGTTACCTACTCTTAGAAACTAAGTTAAGTGTACCAATAATGGCACCTTAACCAAAAAAGCTTATTTTTCTCGCCTCTGAGATCATGTTTTTTTTTATTTATTAGATATTTACTATGAAATATTATGTGACTTTAGTGGTAAAATATTGTATGTAATATTTTAGAAAAGAAATTATATATTTGCCCTCCTTGCCCCAATAATGGGCGGGCACCCAATTATTCACACTAGGTACCCTATGTTGGGCACCCCTATATTGGGCACCTATAAAATGTACTTTAAGGTGGAAATTATCTTATATTTTAACAATACCAAGAGAAATAAAGTATTAAAACAGAAATATGTATAGCTTAATCTTAAAACAGTGAATTATTTTTAACTACTTCTTATGTATTTAAGTACGTAATATTGTTAAATAATAATAATAAAAACAAAACTTATTCATAAAGCTATTTTTCCAATACCTTCACTTAATTTTTTCTTAAAACTATAAATCAAATGTTAATCTTTATTAATAATGTCAGGAGTTCTCTACAACCTTTAAAAGTTTTTTGGTTTCGTCTACAGACCTTAAGCCTTAAACAACAAACTTTCCTGCTTCAGGTTCATTTTGTTGAATTATACACAATTACTGGTATACAGTTGCTCCTCTCTTGCCCCCTATTACAAAGGTTCCTTCCTTAATTCTACTCTGGCTGACTAATTCAGCATTTTCGTCTGCACTACTTTCTGAAGCAAATGAAGACATTCCCGACTCTTCATACATGATTTATGCAGAAGAAGAACTAGAGGGGGATGAAGGTACTACAAAATGTTGTTTTAGTCTTCGCTTTTCTTCTGCTTCTTTCTTTTTAGTTTCTCGTACTACTTTTCTCCTTTGCTTTTCACCTTGAGTCTCCGTTTTTACAAGCATCTGAGGGGAAGTAACTACCGCTGGCAGCTTTTCTTTTTTGCTTGTTTTTTTTTATTTCAGAAGTCTCACCAGGCCAAAACAGAATTCTTTTGAATTAGGAAGGTACTAATCGATCTACTTTGAATCAAGATAAGTTATCAACGGGCAACAGAGTTGATGGAATCATATTAGCATTAATCAAAGTAGCTGGTGCTGTAGAAGGGCCCGCTAATTGATCATTCTAGCTGAGCATAAACTAGCATCACTTAGTTCTTCCTGTTGTTCGGGATTTTGAACTATCATACTTTTCCTATTTTTCTGAATGCTAGATGTTTTAGCGGTATGCCACAAGTAGTACAAAGAATAAACTCTTATATCCCCTCTCCAGTCTCCTACGTTTTTTTTTAATTCTTGCATTTTAGGTGGTTTTATTTTTTTTCTCAAGTGTCTTAAGGAATGTATCACGAGGTACACCAACATACTGCAACTGTTGAACTGGACGCTGGACCTTATGTTGTGACACTTCTGGTATTTTAACTACCATTGGGTGCCATGGTACTAGACCGCATGCTTTAAAACCATTTTGAATTGTTGTTGGTGTAAGTTGAACTAATATTTGTTTTAAAATAGTCGGGAAATTATGTTTTTCTACTTGTCTTCCTTTATGTGTTATGCGCCACTCAGCAACTTCCTGTCTCCATCTGAGCTTAAGGGAGTGAAAAATAGTAACGTTCATAGGCTGGAGTATATGAGTGGCATTTGGTAAAAGTAATATCATTTAAATTTTATTGACTGCACAAAAGGTAGCCAATGGCATCTAATTATGTGAGGTGTGGCCATCCATAAAAAATAAAACTGGTCGTTCGATATTGTTCGAACAATATATTATTGTCGTCCATCCGTTTTCCGATCAACCAATGGGCAATTTCGAGGGCATGTCTGAAACGATCAATTGTGGTAATCATGTATACCTATACACAACAATCGGTGAAGCAAGTTTTCCAGCGATGTTGGCTGGAAGGAGCACAGTTAAATTTAATTTTTCATCGCCTCCCGATGCTATATATACAGATTTGCAGTCCTTTTCCGTCAGAACCTTTCCAGGAAACACAGTTTCGTCACAGTTAAAAACTCTTCGGATCCTCCAATGCTCCTCTTAAATTATTGTCAGTTACATATTGTAGCACCTCCTTAAAACCATTTTTCTAATTTTTTTGAGTCACTGCTCGCCTCTGAACTGTTAAGTTTTGGTTGGTGCGTTTGTAAACATCAGGATAACGCTTCATAAAACCTTCACACCACTTCCTTCCGGAGTCACTTATTCCATCTCCAAAAGTGATTTTAAGGTATTTTGCTGTTTTAGCAATGCTAAACAGCAGTATATCTACTGGGATTCCTTTTTTAACCATCTCTTTAATCCATTAATCAAAGACTAGCTCCCTATAGGGGAAAAACAGTGGGGGGACCCATGCATGTTGCCACAAAAGTATCTGTGTTTATTATTCGTAGAAGTGTAGGACGTAATATGTTATGCTTCTTGGCTGTTGATTTTATTTCCCTTACTTCTTGTATGGCTAATTTAATAACATTCTTCTTCTTCTTCTGGTTCCTATCCGTTTCGGATGTTGGAAATCATATTGGCAATCATAACCTTGCTCGCTGCGGCTCGAAACAGCTCCGTTGAGGTTTTCTTAAACCATGTTCTTAAATTCCGCAGCCATGATATTCTCCTTCTACCGGGTCCTCGCTTACCTTTGACTTTACCTTGCAATATAGACTGTAGCAGGGAGTAACGGTGCTGATTTCTCATAACGTGTCCCAGATATTGCAATTTTATGCGTTTGATCGTAAACACAATCTCTGGTTCCTTCTTCATTTTTCCTAGAACTTCCTTGTTCGTGATCCTTGCTGTCCATGATATTCTCAGCATTCTTCTATAAAGCCACATCTCAAATGCTTCAAGTTTTTTAATAGTGGCGTCTGTAAGCGTCCATGCCTCCGCCCCGTACAACAACACAGAGAAAACATAGCATCTCAATTCAATAACATATTTTGAATATTTCTTATACGACATAGTGATGCTAAAACAAAATAGAAAAAAGTTAATTGGGTAAGGAAGACAAGTCACATGACAAAATAAAAATGGGATTTGGAGTTCCTATGATGAGCACTGGCAATGATCCTATATTGGGCATGGGATCTTGGGTGCCCATTATAGGAACCAATTTTTCTATGACACTGCCGGCCGTACCTCTATATTTTATATCCAGTGGGGCTTCACACACAAGCACAATGCCACCGTAGGTATACCATATTTCTCAAGTTGGACACAATGTCCATTATTGGTACAATAATAACATTCCTGTTCCTAATTTGGGCACCCATGTTCAAAATCAAAAAGAAAGTCAATACCACAAATAAAAAACAAGTGTTAAAAAAACTTACTTCTTAGTAAATCCACTAATTTGAGGTTAATCTGGCGCCTGAATTCATTCAAGTTTTAATGGTCTAAGTGAATTCATAACAGCTTAGGTACAATAAACTACACACGGCAAAATTCACAGTCTGAACTGAGGGCGGAATTTAGATGATGGGTAAACCAAGAGTCATGGCCACCTCCACCACTACTTTTTTGTGACTAAAAGCACGTTAACGTTATTTTATTAATATATTCCCGAGGTGACCATTATAGGTGCAGTGCTTAAGTTAGTTATATTTACCTTATATAATTAAAGCTGCAAAGTGGTATTAAAAACGAAAAATGTTAAAAATTGGAATTATCAAGTTCTTTACCTGTGCTCTTCATTATATTATAATGATTTTATTAGTCCTAATTTATTGTCTTTATTCTAATTGATTGTCTTTATTCTAATTTACTGTCTTTATTCTAATTTATTAAAACTCACGATAATTTATCAAAAGTCTTTATTTTATACTAATTTATTTTACACTTAATAATTACAAATAATTTATTTGCGTTCGAACAATTTTAAACCGATATCGCGAGCTTCTTGTTGACTGCCTGCTCAATGAAAATCTTCCGTTATTTATATGAAACCAGCTGGTAAACAGAATGTTGTAGAAAATACGATGCCGTTCTCGACGTAGACACAGCGGCAACTGGTCTCAAAACTGGTATGTTTTTTTCATCGGCTCGTCCCCAGAAAGTTCGATTGTTGTTTGTTTAGCGAAGGGAACCCAAAGGGTGTCAGGTAGATTTTTGACCTAGAAATTACGAGAATCAATAAAAAAGAATTAGTCATAAAATATTTACAGTTCTATACGCCATAACATTTAAAATCGTAATAATATTTTAGACTTACTTTTCAATTTAAATTATTCTGTATTTCTATCGTTCGCTTCAATGTCTGGAGATTTCTCGATAGCGTTGGGATATAATTCGAATGTTCAACTTATTCCACGGCCCTCTAGAATGGTATGTCATCGAACGATAGACTGATATTGGATAGATAGGAAGCTAAAGTAACAATATTATAAATATGAACTTATAGTTTATATTCCTTAAAATAAGATTACTCTGAGTAAGCTATGGAGTTTGGCGTTTTTTATCCTGTTCCCACTTATCTACGTAACATTACAAAGAATCTACCTCCGGCTACAAGCTGTATGTTACTTTTGGGGTGTTGTATGGGAGAGAGAATAGGTTTACATCGAATGAAAAAGAGCACAGAAATAACAAAAACGATAAAAATTCGGAAGTTACAATATTTCGGTCATGTAATGAGACATCCAGAGAGGTATAACCTTCTACACCTCATAATACAGGGTAAGATCGACGGAAGGAGAGGCCCAGGCCGACGAGGAACATCCTGGCTACGAAATCTCCGAGAATGGTATCAAGAAACCACCTTTAATTTATTTAGAGCCGCCGTGAATAAGGTTATTATTGCCAATATGATCGCCAACGTTCGATAATCGGTCAGGGCACTGAAAGAAGAAGATGGGAGAGTGTTGTACCTTTGGGCAAATTTCATGTCGTTTGGCTCAAAATATTTAAAAACTGCCTTATAGCAACTATTGAAGCATACAGAAGTAGATACAACCTTTATCTATAAATGACAAATTATACGTCAAATGAAATCGTAGGCTTCCACGGCCAGAGTCAGAATTATAGTTTATTCGTCTTCCGGGTTTGGACCGTGTCATTTGTGAGTGACCCAAAAGTGGGTTCATCTCGACGTTTCGCTACAATTGTATGTAGCTTCTTCAGGAGAACAAAAAAGAAAA